TTCTTGTTTTAAGAAATTTAATTTCTTAAAACAAGAAATATTTTTTCTTGTTTTAATGGTGCTTTTCAAAAAAAACATTTCTTGAAACAAAGGTGAGGTCGCCTTTGGCTAAAATTCAAGAAAGAATTTTCTAGATTTTAAGGAAATTCTCCGCCTTTTTTTGTGAGTGTACTATTCTTTGTAAAAAAACAGAATGTGTAAAGTTTGAAGTCTGTGACTCAATTTTTAGAGTTTATGCCAAAAAAATCGACTTTTGGACCATAGTGGATTGGTTAGGTTTTGGATCATATTCATTAAGAATGGCATAAACTTTGAAGGATAACACAGAAAAACCGAGTCCTGGCCCAGTTTTCCTTCAAAAATGTTATATCACAAAGCACAAAGAATCTTATCAGGGCCGATACTAAACTAAAACACGTGCTTAAAATAATAGAGAATATTTTAATAGTTGGATAATGTTTCAATAAACAAATTTATAAAACATGCACTTAAAAAAAAATCCTATCCGAAATGCGAAACACATTTACAAGGGCATAGGGCTCGTCAAAAAAACTTACAAATGAATACCCGCAAACTTATGAGAATGTGTGAAGGCAAAGTTAAATTGGGTAAGAAGAAATCCTTTTTATAAGTCAAGTGTCTTCTAAACACCTAAATTGACTAAAAACATGGTACCAAAACATCCATTTATTGAGCATTGACCTAGTATTAACAAAGGCTTGTTTTTTCTTCTTGAAGTAAGATCAATACGGATGGATACATCGTTCATGAATCATCCTATGATGTAAATAGTGATACGGTAGTAATTCGTAGCTTAAACTAAATACAAAACACTTCTTAAATGAATCTTTGACCAATAAAATCCGGCCAGGATCACGGTCAGGATAGCAAAGAAAGAGTTCGAAAGTACACCCAGAAAAAAACATTGCCTAAAAAGTCAAAAACTTGCCTGAAATTTAAGGTCTAAATTTTAGGCAATAACATTTTTAGGCAATAAAATTGCCTAAAACGGGATTTTTAGGCAATATAATTTTTAGGCAATAAAATTGCCTAAAGCAAGACTTTTAGGCAATATAATTTTTAGGCAATAAAATTGCCTAAAACGGGATTTTTAGGCAATATAATTTTTAGGCAATAAAATTGCCTAAAACAGGACTTTTAGGCAATGTCATTTTTAGGCAATAAAATTGCCTAAAACGGGATTTTTAGGCAATAAAATTTCCTAAAACAGGACTTTTAGGCAATGTCATTTTTAGGCAATAAAATTGCCTTAATCGGGATTTTTAGGCAGTATAAACTAGGGTTAGTTTTGGGCAATAATTGTCAAAAATTTATTATTTTTTAGGCGATGTATATCCCAAATAAAAATATTTTTAGGCAATATCAAATCGGCATAGATTTAGGTTCCCATATCCAATGAAACACGAAAATAAGTATTTTTTTTTTCATTATTTACATGTTACTTAAACTATAAAACAATATAAACTATAAATTATGAATATGTACATATTACTTAAACTAAAAAACTTAGGTTTTACATATGATTTCGAATTTATATAATGGATGTGTACAGGGGGATTATGTACTGCGCTTATATTAATTAATTTAAAATCGAGCTTATCACTAATTTCATAGCTATTATAATGTTTTTCATAATGGGTCTCCAATTGTTGACAAAATAAATACGTGTTTTTATTAAGTAATATTATATCATTAATAATAAAAAAAGAACACAATTCATTTTTTAAAAAAATTAAAAAGCCACGTTTATAACAGAAGCCATATTTGGATACATATAAAAAACTTCGTGCTGTAGAGAAGTCTATATCGGGAAAAGTAGCTTGACAAGTTTCACTATGAATAGAGTTTTCAAAAAGGCTTGAAGATTTGCTAAACTTTAATTCTGTTTTTGAAAAATTTAAAATAAAATATAAGTCAAGTTTTTTCGACTATTTATATTTTTACAGTACGACTTCAGTTCACGATGCTTCGATTCAAAAACAAAGGTCCAAAGATATCTTAAAGGACCAGACATTTTTACTATTTGCGGATAATGATTTAAGAAATGATGCTTCGGTTTGAGTGTGTCATTGAATAATTTGGTATATTGCTTGTTGTGGAGAATTATGTGGTTTTGTAAGTTTGCAATATCGGCTGGTTTGTATTCAAAAAGGCAAAGAAGGTCCAAAAGCTCTGACAAATTAAAAAAAAATGTCCACACCCTGTTTTCATAGGGAATCTTATCTGCAATCATAAGAGGAAAGTGATCAACTAATGTTAGCATTTCCCTTGCAGACATTTTAAGCTTAAAATTTTTTAAATGAGTAATATTAATGGAACTTGAAGTGTTGCCAATTTCTGACTCTCCATATTGAAAGGATTGCTTACGAATGTTAAAAAACTCTAAATCAAATATCTTTTCATTTATAAAATACAAAAGAATATGACATATATCGTAGTTTAGTATTCCCTCAAAAACGTCATGTAGTAAATCCGTGGAATAATTATCCAAAATAGAAAAATTGTGAATTTTATTAAAAATTGAATTTTCTCGCACCCCTGATACTGTCACATTGCATTCTTCACAATCCTGATTGGAATTATCTGTTGATCTCAAAAGTGAGGAATCAGCTAAAAAAGAATAATGAGTATCTTCCTTTCGCATTTTGCAAAATCTGCAAAAATAAGTACTCGAAAAGGATCTGGAAAAGCCAAGAACGTAGTTTAGAGCCAAATTATCACATATTATTAAGCCTAAGCTAAAGAGCATTCGTTTATTTCCTTGTGAAGTAGTTACAACTATTCCATTGTCGTTGAGATCATTTATGACTTCAACCAACTTGTAAAATATTCGATCGTTTCCAAATTCTTTAACATTCTTTAATTCAAACAAGGCTGCTATAAATATTTCTTTATAATTAGGCGGTGCTGTCGGTAATGATATATATGAAGCTAAAATGAGCAATGTATGGTTTCCCAAGGGATTGTTTGTTTCGAAATCATCGAAGTACAAAAAATCGGTAAACGGACTATGTCTGTTGCGTGTGGATAGCGACGATTCCAAATGTTTCCGTTTATAAAATTTTTTAATGATTCAGTTTGTCCTAAAAGATTAAAATGTTTTATAAAGTAGAGACCTGCACGAGTAAGTAAAAATATACTCGATTACTACTCGGCGATGCCGATTCCAACTGTCAAATCTGGAATCGTGGCATCGTAGAATCGTAGGCATCGGCATCGTTTTACTCATATCTGACTCGTGTTTTTTATTAAACAAAATCAACCAAAATTCTTGTCAGAACAAGAGGAACCAATATAACCAAGATTTAAAAATGGTTAGTCCTATCTACTTAAGACCATAGATTAACTCTTTGACAATATGAGACCGCGAATTCTTTGGCACAAGAGAATTTTTTTTTATGTTTTACCGTCCTTGAACCCGACATACACGAAATCTTAACCAAAATGAGACCGCGAATTCTTTGGAAGAAGAAGAACCAATAAAGGACCATGTCCAAAACACGTATGGATTTGTTGTCTTTAACTAGGTTTTTCTATTCACGAATTCTAAAAAAAATGTACCCGCGAATTCTTTAGAAGAAGAGGAAATTTTATTGAAATTTATTTTAAAATGTCAAATTTGAAATTTGTTGGCGATGCTACGATGCTACTCGTACGATTCTACGATGCCGAGTATACTCGGCATCGTTTGACACGATTACATGATTACAAAAAATAATCGTGGCGTCGCCAACTTGATTACTTTTACTCGTGGAATCGGCATCGTATCGTGCAGGTCTCTATTATAAAGTCATCGAAAACAGTTGGTATTTCGAAATACCTTTTTAAATAGAGCTTTATTGGAAATATCACTCCTTCAGCTTTGCTTGAACTAAGACTAAGCTTATTTTTTTTCCGTATGGGTCTTATTGATTTATCAATAGTTATTCTACTTGCAGGAAACCATAGGCTAAGACTTTTAAGCTTTTGAATAAGTAAATGTTCAGAATTAATCTTTTTAAACGGGTTATTACAAAAGGTGATTAAATCTGATATGGCAGCTTCTGCTTCTTGATTTCCCCTGATCTTGTTTAATATGTGCTTTAATTCATTTTTAATAGGATGTGTTAAATTTCTCTGTATGTTTTCTTGTAATTCCGTTGCTTTTTTTCTTGGCAATCCCATGTCTCCATACGAACTTAAAGTCAATTTAAAAGCGGATTCTTGTAAAGTACTCGCTCCGGGATTAATTGGATCTATCTCTTGGTGACACAAAGGAAGTGAAGTAAAGTCACCTAGAAATTGCCGGCTTTTAGTGCTGTTACTTAAGTCATTATACTGTATTCATTGTTTGCTGAATAGGATTTTGTGCCAATTTTTTTTCTTCATTTTTCATGTGTTTTTTTAAGTGAATTATTGTTGAAAATAACTGAGAGCATTGGGCAAAACCGCACGAAAAGCTTAATTCAAATTTATGATTATCGTTGATATGTTTAAGAAATAAAGACATCTTTTATAAAGTTATGCTGCAAAACTTACAAAAAAATGTGGGCTCCATTGTGTCTTTTTTATTGAGATATAATAAACAAATTTAAGCTGCAGTATTTAAATCATTGATTAATGATATAATGCAAGCATTTTTTTCATCCGATGGGATCTCTATATCAAAAAAATAGTTCTGTATGAACAACCACACGAGCTTAGACTCTAAGGGGTATTTTAAATTTAACACCATAAAAACCTTGAAGGTGGCATCCACAGCTTTAAGAATGCTATCAAACTTATAGTATATGTCGGCGAAGTAAACGAAGAACTCCTTGCATTCCAAATCTGAAGGTCCTATACCGCACACTATGGGCTGCAAGGTGCACTTTTCGGTAAAAAGGTTGTCTATCCGAGTCTTGATGTAAGACATAAGCTCTCCGACAGTAGGAAAGCTTACAAAGAAGGACTTCCTAGAGTCAGCGATGGTGATCTTAGAGCAAATTTTTTTGCAGTGTCTCCCAGTGAGGAAAGACTTCATCTAAGTCCGCAGTTCCATCACTGTTGCAAAGTAGCCAGTTAAAACCATAGTCGGATTCTTCGGCATCTACATACATATATTTAAATTACACTAGTTTACAAAATAAAATCGACCTCACCCTAATCGAAGGCAACCTTAATTTTCCGGTAAAGTACATCTCCCTGATTAAGAAATGGGCACTTATAATTTTTTGTATGGTGTCAATTTTTTTTAAGTGTAAAAAACGTTTTTGGCCCTTTTTATTTTTTATCTCGAGTTCTGGTAAACCGACTGAGGTCATCGATGACTCATTTTACAGGTAATATACTGCTCTTTAACTTTCTTATACACATCATTGAGTTTCAGTCATTAGTTTAGAAGCCACACCTCGTCAAAGTTAAAAAATTTGAAAAAAATGCAAAAGTTTTGGCATAAATGGCTTCGTTAAAAATACACGCAAAAAAACCGAAAATAGTTTTATAGCTTATTCTGGTAGATGGTACTTTGACAAAAAAAACAAGCTAATGATCATTAGAATCCACCAGAAAATGAATTTTATATCGATTTTTTAAGTTGGGCAAAACGGATATTACAGCCCTGTTAGAGCCCTGTCAGAGACCTGTTGTCTCAGTTAACAGCTGTAAACGGCCAAAAAATCATGGTTGTCCCAAACTTAAAATATTCATATAAAATTCATTTTCTGGTGGATTCTAATGATCATTAGCTTGTTTTTTTTTGTCAAAGTACCATCTACCAGAATAAGTTATAAAACTAATTTCGGGTTTTTTGCGTGTATTTTTAACGAAGCCATTTATGCCAAAACTTTTGCATTTTTTTCAAATTTTTTAACTTTGACGAGGTGTGGCTTCTAAACTAATGACTGAAACTCAATGCTGTGTATAAGAAAGTTAAAGAGCAGTATATTACCTGTAAAATGAGTCATCGATGACCTCAGTCGGTTTACCAGAACTCGAGATAAAAAATAAAAAAGGACCAAAAACGTTTTTTACACTAAAAAAAAATTGACACCATACAAAAAATTATAAGTGCCCATTTCTTAATCAGGGAGATGTACTTTACCGGAAAATTAAGGTTGCCTTCGATTAGGGTGAGGTTGATTTTATTTTGTAAACTAGTGTTATCTTAGTTGCATATTATTTCACTCGTAGAAACACAATTACCTCTATCAGCTGCATCAATTTCTAAATTGTCAACATATGCTTCTTCCACAGATGATCTAGCCTTTGCTAATGAATTTCTGTACTTACTGTACAGCAGTCCTCCAGCTCTCTTGTTTTTTATAGGGAGGTAATATGTCTCCTATAAATATTTTGTAGTTTAATTATTATTACAGTTGTCTTTTAATCTCTAATTTAATATCTAACCTTTACTTCCGTCGGAAAAAGATATGTGATATCTTCAGCAATCTTTTCGAATTTCTTGGGTTGCCAATCTATATTTTTATACCCGTTACTCGTAGAGTAATTATACCCGTTACTCGTAGAGTAAAAGGGTATACTAGATTCGTCCAAAAGTATGTAACAGCTAGAAGGAAGCGTTTCCGACCCCATAAAGTATATATATTCTTGATCAGGGTCACTAGCCGAGTCGATCTAGCCATGTCCGTCTGTCCGTCTGTCTGTCTGTCTGTCTGTCTGTCCGTCTGTCCGTCTGTATGAACGCTGAGATCTCAGAAACTACAAAAGCTAGAAGGTTGAGATTTCCCACACATATTCTTTGGCTTCCTACGCAGCGCAAGTTTATGTTAGCCGAGCGCCACGCCCCCTCTAACGCCCACAATCGCCCACTAACGATTTTAAAATGGGTCCTGCGCCCACATCTTTAAAGATTTCCGAGAAGTATAAATGCAATTTTGTTGTGTATATTTATACCTATCGAAATGTAGAAGACATTTTTCAAATCATTAAAAAGTTATACGCAATCAAAAATTATATATCTATCTCCCTCGCACTCCCTTTAGCTGAGTTACGATTATTAGTCGGGACACCAACCCGACACAGCGTTCGCACTCCCTTTAGCTGAGTGACGGGTATTAGATAGTCGGGACAACAACCCGACTATAGCGTTCTCTCTTGTTGCTTATTAAATAATCGCAAATAATTCCACTGATGGATTTGCGATGTTTTAGCTCAGAACGCTTGTGCATGCGAAAAAAGTTTTGTATTTCTTTAAACAATATGGAATCTGACAGAATTAACAAAGCTGTAATCTAAATGTTTTAAATAGGTTAATAAAAAAAATTTAGTTATAAGATATAAACTATATTAACTATTTTTCGGAACAAATCATTTTAAAGTCACCTGATTATGGTCGCCACATTGCACATTTTCTTTCTGAAAAATATTTAAATGTGATTTCCTTTCAAAATCAAATAACAATAGAATTACATTAACCATCCTGAGGGCATGCTCCAGCTTAACTCTTGCCCCAAACAAATTTTTTGGCACAATCTCTTTAAGGTGTTCTGGGGTTAAGAGGAGTAACGCTTGCTCGTCTATTCCGTAATCTATTCGACAAAAAATTAAATTAACTATTCTTTAACGAATTAGATTTGTACCACCTTTGAAGCAGCCAATAAGCTCCGAACAATTGTGTTTTGCCAAAAACTCTTCCATTACTAAGGAAAACGAAAAAAAACAAGAGAGAACGCTATAGTCGGGTTGTTGTCCCGACTATCTAATACCCGTCACTCAGCTAAAGGGAGTGCGAACGCTGTGTCGGGTTGGTGTCCCGACTAATAATCGTAACTCAGCTAAAGGGAGTGCGAGGGAGATAGATATATAATTTTTGATTGCGTATAACTTTTTAATGAATGGTCCGATTTGAAAAATGTCTTCTACATTTCGATAGGTATAAATATACACAACAAAATTGCATTTATACTTCTCGGAAATCTTTAAAGATGTGGGCGCAGGACCCATTTTAAAATCGTTAGTGGGCGATTGTGGGCGTTAGAGGGGGCGTGGCGCTCGGCTAAAATAAACTTGCGCTGCGTAGGAAGCCAAAGAATATGTGTGGGAAATCTCAACCTTCTAGCTTTTGTAGTTTCTGAGATCTCAGCGTTCATACAGACGGACAGACGGACAGACAGACAGACAGACAGACAGACAGACAGACAGACAGACAGACGGACAGACGGACATGGCTAGATCGACTCGGCTAGTGACCCTGATCAAGAATATATATACTTTATGGGGTCGGAAACGCTTCCTTCTAGCTGTTACATACTTTTGCACGAATCTAGTATACCCTTTTACTCTACGAGTAACGGGTATAAAAAAACGCTGTCTCATTGTCATTTAAACATTTTGCGAGTTAGCGTTTCAACTAACAAAATCATATAATGCCTGATTATTTTCAGGCCGGTGAACAAGAAGTATGAAACTGAATGACACAATAACCAATTCTCACCAATTCAAAGAACAAAGTATAATAAACTTACCTGTTTAACAAAACTTCACAATATTACACACCAAACGCGGAGAAAACAATGTGACGGTATTTCAAAAATAAAAAAAAACAATCAAAGTATCCTGACTAGAACCAGGACTAGGACCAGGATTGTTGAAAGCCAGAGTATTCACCTTTTTTATTAAAAGACATGGCAACTCTCTAACATTTGAGTATCACCAGTACGCATTATTTACTTTAAAATCAATTTAGAAAGCATATTTGTAGTTATTTTTACCTTGGTAACAATTTGAACAATTTTATTTCATAATAAAAGCTGTTTGAAAATTCAAAAGAACCATTTTAAATCAATCCCCTAATTGCTGAAATTTTCTGTTGAATTTTCAACAGTTTAAAGAATACCCTTACATTCACCCATTAAGTTGTACGTATCGATATTTCACGCATCACGCTTATGGTTTTAGTAGCAGCTGGTATACTTTTATTTATAAGGTTTATTAAGTTGAAAGTCAATATTATTCTAAAAAATATTAAGCTTAAAAATCCTATGTTTTTTGTGTTCCTTCTTTAATAACTATATATATATTGCATTATTTTCAAACAAAAAACCATTTAAAACAAAGTAATGTATTATAAAAAATATTTATAAAAACAGTGTGTAGTGTTCGAACACATGGGGTGCATTATTACCTAGCACAGTAATTTATATTTATAGCATAGCATAATAAAATCATTGATTATAATTTTAGGAATATTACCTAAAATTTAGGCCTACTATTCCTAAAAGTATGTGACCTAAAAATATATTTTTTTAGGCAATAAGACCGATTTTTAAGGTAATTATTGCCTAAAATAAATTTTTTAGGCAATAAATAGTCAATTCCTATAATTTTAGGAAAATCTTTTTTCTTACTCAGTAAGCAGTATACATTGACTTGTGTACTCGCTTGACCATAACACAACCAAAAATCTTCCAATTTTTTTTTTAAAGACAGTTTATACAGTTAATATAAAACGTCTTAAATCATTTCCGAATAAATTAAAAAATATATCATGACTTTTGGGCCCCAATTCCTTTATAGGTAGGGTCCTGACTTGTTTAATCGATAGTAAGTCATTATATCCAAAAATCACAAAAGATATTTACACTTTAAACTTAGATTTAATTGTTAGCTGCAGCCAACTAAAGATTAAGTTACCCATTTGTCATTTTTCTACCTTTTATTCTATTTTTAGAGAAGTGGTGCTATTATTTTTTTCGTAGGTTTTTCCAGTTTTGCATAGATTTTCTTAAATAAGTCCAGAAACCTTTAATAAATCTAACATTTTTTTTCATATTCAAATTATGTTTAGTCTTACTATTTAAAACCCGTTTTGAAAAGTTAAAAAAGTTAAAAAATGTGAGTAGGGTGACTAGTTAAAATTTTTTTGTGTTAGTGGTGCTATTATTTTTACTCTACGAGTAACGGGTATAAAAAGATATGAACAAAAGAAAATTTGTTAAAACTTTTTTTTTAGCTTTTTTTTAATTTTCTCAAAAACGGCTCTAACGATTTTCCTTACAACTTTAAACTGTATAGCCCTTGAGATTCCTTAAATTTTGGTATATATCATGTTTATGTAAAAAATCGCGTTTAAAAGTTATTCAGAAACGAAAATAGCCACTTTTGCCAGCTCAGAACAACTAACGCTTCCTGAGTGTTTAATTTTGTGCGTGGGTATCCAAACTGTATTTTAGGGTCATGAAATCAATTAATTTGCATTTAACAGTTCCATATAGGAATCTTTTGTTCTACGACTTTTGGAAAAACCCTCTACTTTAGCGGGAAAAAAGCTAAAAATAGCTAAATTTAAATTTGCTATACCACGTTTAAAAGGTATTTTGATATATTTCATCGCCTTTTTAACTTAATTCGTTTAAATACAATATTTTAAAATTATGATTGACCAATTTAAATTTAAATGTATATATTAGCTCTTGTGAAAGCAGAAGTAAACAAAAAAAAACTTCTGATATCAAACAAAAACACCTCTTAACGAGGTAAAAAACTAGTGACGATCGCACCTTCAACATAAAAAAGTTCTGATATCAACATTTGTGACGAAAAATTATTACATTCGTCATTACATACACTTTCTAAAATGTTCTCATTCGGCACGCTGCAATAAAAAAGCCTGTGAAGAGTGAAGAAGAAAAAATTGAAAATAAAAATTGATTGCAAATATCTTTTAAACCAATGGAATATGGGCCAAAATCTAAAAACAGGATTGATCTTCGATTCAATACCTTTCATATGAGCTATGACATGACTATGTCCAAGGATATTTTAAGGACTTATAGCGCCTTTTAATGTTTTATATATGTAACTTCTATGTTCGGTGGAAGTACATGACGCCAAAAAAAACCATTTAGTACCAGAAAATCCAAATGATAAGAATAAATATCCCAGTCGAAATGCACCTGTCCATCTGTCTGATTTTGCATAAAGTACTTAAAAAATGAAAGTCGCGAATTTTCCAATTATTTATAAGTATTTTTAGTTAAGTTAAGTTATGTATAATCCACACAAATAAATCCTCTTGTTCCTAAGAATTCGCGGTTTCTAAAGAATCGACATAGAATACATATTTAGGTATCTGAAGTAAAGTTATGTAAGATACACAAAAATATATCCTCTTGTTCCTATGAATTCGCGGTTTTTAAAAAATTGATCTCTTTAGTTAAACTGTGTATAATCCACTCAAGCTAATCCTAAAAATTCGCGGAATACATATTTAGATCAATTTTTTAAAAACCGCGAATTCTTAGGAACAAGAGGATATATTTTTGTGTATCTTACATAACTTTACTTCAGATACCTAAATATGTATTCTATGTCGATTCTTTAGAAACCGCGAATTCTTAGGAACAAGAGGATTTATTTGTGTGGATTATACATAACTTAACTTAACTAAAAATACTTATAAATAATTGGAAAATTCGCGACTTTCATTTTTTAAGTACTTTATGCAAAATCAGACAGATGGACAG